CACATCAGGGTGCTTCCGTTTTAATGCATACACTCCGGAGGATTACTTTAAATTACTTGGGTAGGGGTAACACAACTAGTGTTCCTAGTCTGACCCACCCGAGGGTATAATTCTGACATCAGAAAGACTCTAGAACCCTGTCACACTTCCTTTCTGTCACCAAGTTTCCCATCCCTGAAAACTTAAGCTAAAATGAAGTGGAGCCAGAAGACCAAATTGTAACTTGTTTTCACGGCCAGCCATCCCTGCAGCTCTGCCTGTGACTGACCCGTGGCCCTGGATGCCAATGTTGCCAGAACAACATTGGGGAAGAGGAGAGCTCAAAGTTGTCAAGGGAGCACCACTTCCTGTCCCATCCTGACCCCCCTAAAAAATAAACCAAGCCAGAACAGGCCATTGGCTCGAATCTAGAAAGTGGATTCCCTCCTCCCACAAGTCCCAAGCAAGAGTGAGTGAAGCCTGTGACTGAGACCCAAGGTGGGTTCCTGTACACAAATGGTTCCTAGTCATTCTGTGACGTCACAACACCGAATTCTGAGCGTTTGCTAGAATGCCATTTCCTGTGCCAGCTGTCAGACCAGGCAGGGCAGTCCCCTTCCTTGTGTAGCCTCGTGCCATTTGGGAATCTAGCAAATCATGTGAAGCATTCATACGATGGTCAGAAATCTCATAGGAAACTATCAATAAGGGTATATTGGCATGAGGTCAGTTTCCAAAGACAATGTTAACTACAATTACTGTACGTGTGTATAATATACAAAAAGTGTGACCATGTCCCTCAACCCTTACCAAGACTAGAAATTCATGTTTGATTCATTACAACACTGAAGTCTTTATTTTTTCAACACAGCCCAATAATGGACTTCCTCCCTACTGACTGGATGTCATGAAGCCTCATTCAAGAAGTAAAGCAACATAATCTATTCGGAGTCTGACAAGCATCCAAGCACAGCACTGCCTCCTTCCAAGTACTGTGGAGCTTCTAAGACACCCACGTCCTCACAGGTGTAAACTCCTTCGTCTCACAATGACGGCCAGTAGGTGGCAGCTGTGATAGGGCCGTCAGGATAAGGTCAGTAGAGCCCAGCATCAGATCTCACAGAATGGGTATCTGCAGCTTAGAAGACAATTCTGGAGCCATCAACAGAATGTGCTTTTCAGAAAAGCTGCGTCACCAGCACTCACCAAGGCTCAGAGGACAACACTGCTTGGGAAAAGCATGGACAAGGACAATTCTAGGTCAAAATGTGGTTCAGAACATCGGAATCACACATCAAGTTTTAGGAATGTCTCATTTTCCTTTTTGTACAAATTTTGTATGAATTAAGGGTGGTATGATGATCTGTCTGAAGTCTAAAGGAGCTCTTTCAGTAAATATAAAAAGTCAAAATAAGCACACTTTTTCTAATGGGCACATTTTTCTTAATGGTTCACAAAATGAATGTGTACCTTACGACTGCTGGTGTTTGAGATTCTATGAAATGCAGTGCTGTCTTCACTAGGCTGGTGCTGGTGCTGGGGCAGAGCCTGGGGGCTATCTGATGTTTAAAATTCACTGCGCTGGTCACCCAGCAGTCAGGGAGCCTCTGCTCTGAGCTACTTGCTCAAATCTGAGAACCTCTCAGCGCAGGTCTTTAGGCCAATTTAGGTAATGAAAGAAAATCAGTCCCACTCAATTTTTTTTAAACGAATTTTGGCAACTTTAAAAAAAATTAGAACCCTAAAGAAGTAAACCATTTGCATCATTTGAATTTCACTTCTGATTCCTTTTATAAAGCTGTAATTAGCAAGCCCGCTTGGTTCCTGTCCTTCTCCCACCCGTCAGCTCCGTCGCTGGCCGCTGCACGTGTGCACTTTGGGTTCAGTGGCTCTGCAGGGCCCGCACAGCTGCTCAAGTCTCCCGGACCACTCCCCATTGTCCGACAATTACGTCATCACTACTGAGACTCATTTTATTTGTTCTTACTGCTGGGATATTATCTCAAAAATGGAAAGACAAGTTTTTATAGCTTATGTTACACTGATTCAAGACTTACGCAGACTAATTTAGTGACTCCAATAATGTAAAGGTGTACCAATGCCCCTAAATTCTAGGTGACAATGGGATTTTTCCTAGTTAAAATAATCCCATTTTTCAAACAAAAGAAAAGCAGCGTGTCTCCATCCCACCATCTCCTGATCTACTGACAGGGAGCAGCAGGGCTCTGAGCCAGTCTGGACACCCACTCTGCCCATGCCAGACCGCCGACCGCCCAGGCCTGCTGCCCCAGCACCTCCCGGGCCTCCACCAGCACCACCAGGGCCTCCGCCAGCAAACCGCGATCCAGGCAGGGTCTCTGCATTTTAGTGGCAGGCAAACTTGATACCTGATTACAAACACCCCAAAGTAAACAAGTTAAATTTCTGTTCAGTTCACATGTTTTCCTTGGTGAAGGCCTCCGTCAGTTATGTTAGGAAACTCCCGTGGGTGCAGACCGACACCGTGACTCCAAACTGTAGCCCACACGGCACAAACCCACAGGGTCCCAAAACCATTCCTGTAAGCTCCGTTCTGTTTCCACATTTGCCTCTTCACGTGTGCTACCTTATGAAGGAAGTCTGTTAAATTAACACCTACTCAAGATTATTACTTTTCCTTAACACCTAAAAAAGGGCTACTGTATTCCGGTAGATTCTATTTTTAGTACTCATAAGAACAGTTTTCGGATAACAGGCTTTAAGTCATCTTATCCTGCTCCCATTTTTAGGAATGAATCCAGTAACATCTCAATTTTAAAGGCCCAGCTAGTGTTCTCAATTTGTTTTAACCTTTGGGGCAAATATAGAGAGGAAAACAATCCTTGGAATAAACACTGGTTTGAGGAAAATGTTCACCTACCTCAGCATTTTGTAGGCGAACGGAGAAAACTATCGACTGCCTGGACCCACCCCTTTCTGGGCTTATTCCTACCAGAAGCCAGACTGGCGGTCTCAGTGTGGGCCGGGCAGGGCAAACTAGGGCTACTCCCAAGGCTATGGCTCCACCCCAGGCCACCTCCCCTTCCCCAGAGGTACCTGCTTCCACCTTGGCTCTCGGATGCTAATGGCACTTCTGGGACAGCTTCTGAGAGAAGCGCGGTCAACACTCGGTGAGCACAGGGCTGGAAGAAGAGGGGTGGATGCACCATCCCTCCTGTTGCAAGGACTGTGCCAGCCTCACAGCTCAGCTCCAAGTCAGTTCATCTCCTGAGACACGGGACAGGGTCAAGGCCAGTAAGGCCTCAGTTTGGACAGGTGGAGAACACAGCAGAAAGAGACACTGAGCTCATTTCCAATCCTGGCTTTTCTATGAACTAGCTGTGTGAGTTCAGACCAGTTACTTAAGCTCTGAGCCCACCTTCCTGTCTATAAAATGAACTAAAACCAGCTCATCCTACTCTCAGGTCACGTATACCTAATTCTCATGCACCTCACTTGTGACTCAACATCCCAACTTTGGCTTCTGGATCTGAACTGAGTTGGCTGGGTATAATATTGTTTCTACCACCCTGGGCTGAGAGTTTCAATGACAGCCAGGCAAACCTGGGCACTGTGCAGCCCCAGGAAGAGAACCCACTCAGAGGCAGGTGGCTGGTAGGCAATCTTTAGCTGGATGGGCGAATAGTATGTAGTAGCTTTCATGCTGGGTAGCAAGTGCTCTGCCTGAGCAAGTACAAAGAAGCATCTTGAACCAAATAATCCAAACAGCTGAAAATAGGCCGAAGGAATCAGCTAGCTTCCTCATGAGGTCATAGGCCAAGGGCAGCTGTAGCTATAAAAAAAAAAAAATCAAGGGGAGTCTCCTCCTAAAGGAACTGGAAAAAAAGCCTAGCAGCACAAGACTGTGCTGGACATGTGCTGTGCATATTCATGCACCTGGCCCGTGCTCTCCCGCCCCAAAGCAGCAGTGATGCCCAGTGAACGACAACACGTGGGCCTCTGGGGCCTGGGGCCCACCCCTCCATCATCTGACTGAACAACAGTTAACAGAACCATCTGGATGAGATGACCCCAGGGGTGTTCAGCTGGAAAGGAACGGAGAAACCACTGGGGAGCCAGGGACAAGGACTCAGGGCTCCGGAACTCATCTCTGCTTTAACCAGAGTAGCTCTGCTCATCATGTGTTAGATTTGGGGCTCCTGCATAAACAAAGAAGTCTGATGAATGTTTCAGCTTCTGATTTAATCCAACCCTTCCAATGACTGGGAAAGAAGCGGGAGTTGCTGCCCATCTGGAAGAGGCTTGACGTTTTCAACTGCTCGGCCAGCACAACTGGATGGACACAGCACACACCGCTGCAACCTCTCTCAGTGAGTCAGCTTACCAGAAAATCTCCAGAACAACTAATAGAAGATATTTCTGCCCACATATTAACAGACAAAAAAATTTTTAAATGTATCCTACTTAAGGTTTCTTATTCACTTAGAAATTGGATTCACTTCTCATTTATTTATGGTTTTAAAACTACACACTATACTGTTACGCTCTTTGTTATAAGCAACGTCCAGAATCTGATACATTTGTAGACTCCATTTACACATTTCTCAAGTCCAGTCACCTTTATGTCTTGCTACCGAACATCTGGCACCTTCTCTCACTTGCCAACATCAACCTAAGGGAGAAAAGCCCCAACCCAAGTAACCTCTAACCCCAGAACACCAACGCATGTCGTGCAAGGCAGCACAGCTGACGGGCCCACGCCTGGATCCACCCTGGTTATCCTGTGACCTAGCGAACTGCCCCTTCAAAGTCCCGGTCCTTCCTCCCAAGTTTGCGTGAGAGGTCGGAGCAACTCTCAGGCTGCGCCTGGAGTCACAGTGAGGAGGAGGAACCATCAGGAGTCAGCTCTGCGCATCAGACTTCGCCCGAGGCTACAGCCCGCCCACGCGTCCCTCGTCAGAGCAGCAGTGGCAGCTGAACTCGGCTTCATAACCCCGGTTCCCCTCTCGCAGGATGGCAGGAACACAATAAAGCAACCTTGATACTTTTTTTTGTGAAATTTATTTTTTCCACATTAAAAGATTTTTTTTGAGGGGAAATATTTTCTTCTTTTTTTTTTTAACCACATGATGATCCTATACAGCTGCCCAGAGTAGGACACCATCGTAAGTCATTAACATGCCATATGAGTTCTGAATAAATAAAAGCTACAAAGCCCAAGTTATATACAAATATCTTAGGCAATAATGTTTACAAACCTATGTACAATAAAACAAATGTAAACAGTAAACGCAGCATGAGAGCAATCAAAGGACGCACAGGGACAGCCACCCCATCTGCCCCCCGGAGCCAGCACCAGCCAGCCCCTGGAATCAGGCCACTCACTCCTTCCTACCCACACTAGAGAGGCCCTCAGAAGACAAAACAAAAAAGCTGTGAAGCCGTCACTTAACTGAAGGACCGGAAATGCCACCACCTCCACCCCTGGTCTGAGGCACCCAGAGGAGGAGACAGCACAGAGGCCCAGCCCTGTTTGTGCCCAGGCCCCGGACGCCCCTGCTCTGGGGGGCAGGTCTACAGCATGACAACTGCTGAAGTCAAATCAGAAGGTGCAGCAAATGTTCCCTAACTCAATGACCTTCCTGACTCTGCCAGCAACAGGCCCAAATTGTGTGGGGCGGGGCTGGGGGACACATGATTGTGAGCACTGCAGACGCTCGGGTGGGAGCTCAGGAGGGCGCATGTTGACCTGATTTGGGAGAGAACTTCTAGAAGATTTGCAGTGTCCTAAATACAACTAAACCCTATCAGTACTGCAGGGTGGAGGCTGAGGCAGGTGTGATGAACGGGTACTTCTGTATCCGGAGACCAAGTAATACACGCATGTATCACTGTGTGACCCACAAAGTGCAATCATGTGAAACCAACGGCACTACGGCGAGAAGAGAAAATAGCCAGTATTGATATCGCGCAGAGTCCTGGGGCCGGGCAGGGCCCAGCAGCCGCCACCGCATGCAGCCCGCCCTCTGCCGGCCCTGGGGAGGCAGACAGAGGGGCGCAGGCCGGGCCCAGGCGCCGAAGGGTGAGGCGTGGGTGTCCTGGGTTGATGGAGGAGGGCAGGAGCCCCCCGGAGGCTGGGCACTCACACACTGAGAGGCAGCATACCCGGTGCCGAGGAGGGGCGTGAGGAGCCCAGACCAGGAGGAGGAGGAGCTGGGTCAAAGCCGTTTACTGCCCTGTGGGGGTGACCAGAGCAGAGAAGGGAAGGGGGAAGAGAGAGAGAGACTGTCATTTAAAAATCACTTGACACGCAGCAAGAAATTCATTTGCTCTCTAACACTGTTTCTCTCCCTGGCCCACAGGAGAATCCTGACGGCCTGAGGGAAGAGTGGCTGCCAAGGAAGCCTCAGTGGGTCAGAGACTTGAGGACTCAGTGGCTGTCCTCGGGGAACAACGCGACTATGGGCTCCGTTCTCGGCAACTCCTCGCCGCCCACTGCAGCCACAACCCTGGCTGTCCCCGCAGAACGGGTCTAAATGTCTGCCGGTGGGGAACTAGCTCAATCAATAATGGTACGACTACATGATTAAATAGGATACAACCATTAAAAACACATTCCAGAGTTCTTCAATAGCATGGAAAAATATTCAGAATGTAATTAATGGTAGGTAGAAAAAGGTTACCAAACTGTCTGTGTTCAATGATGTGAAGAAAAAAATGTAAGTAGCATATATTCCAGATTCCAGACTACGGACAGGCACTGCTATCTATGTAGCTGGGTCTAGAATGTGTGGGGACCCTCACATATACATACACACACACATATATGTACATAAAATCACATATATTGTAGAAGGAAAATTTAACAACGGTTACTTTTCCTCCCTCTGAGGTTGGGGGTAAATTTTGTTTACTACTTTATACTTTTTTATCATCTTCTAAATCTCCTATAACATATATAAATATCTTAATGAAGGGGGAAAGGTAACTTTTTTATGTTGTTAAGCAAGAAAAGCCAGATGGTAGGCTTCTCTGGTGACTGGTGAGCAGCCAGCCCAAGGAGGACCCAGCCACCCAGCCCCGCGAGGCAGAGCGCCCCAGCCCCAGCCCCAGCCCCAGCCCCAGCCCCAGCCGCCTGGCAGCGCAGCCATGGAAGCAGGGAGGGAGTGAGGGCAAGGCCTGGATCCTCTCTCAGGAAGCCACTCCTGCCTTCCCATCCTGAAAAACTTCCTAGGAAATGCTGTCCCACCAGCAGCTGGGGCAACGCACACAACTGCAAAGGGCCACACTGCACCACACCTGCTCACCACTGTCCCCCAGCCACTCCTCAAAGGGGTCTAGAGAGTTGAATACAGACTCATGGAGAGAGTTTCTCTTACCAAAAATGCACACACTTTTCCCCACAAAGGCTAACTTCTGTACACTGAGAGGTGAGTGTAATCTCACGGAGAAACAGGCATGCAAGGAGTTCGACTACTCTGAAGAAACTAACCTCAGAGGATGGACTCTGAGTTTGAAACAAGCCTCCCACACACAGGCCAAGAGCCAACAGGAGGGACTCTGACAGGTAACTTCTCCCTGCCGTACACCGTCCCGCCCCAGTGATGCACAGCCAGGGTTTCCCCTTTTCTTCATGGGGCTGGGGAGGTCGGATACTTGATCCTCATTGCATTTGAAAACTTTAAAGCACCCCTCCCTACACTCCCAAGGCTTATATCTGTGCCTCCTCTGGCTCCTCATGCAGGTTTAGGACTGAGAGCATTTTCAAGTTACGCGGACATTCAGGGAATATGAAGTTCATCCCCATTGTTGTACTGCTAAGAAAACCAAATCAGGAGAAGATCCAGCCATTCACCTGAGTTTGCCTGTGAGTCCACCAATGGGGAATCAGGGCTCATGACCTGCCTCCAGATGTCCAGGCCATCATCCTTTCCCGGGACCCTCCTGGCCCGAGGACACCTGACAGCCCTCAGTGAGCAGGCACTCCGGTGCCCCCAGTGCAGGTCAGCGCCACTGGGAAAAAGAAGCAGTGCGATCGGAACACAGAGGGGAAACAAGAAACCAGGAAAGCCCTCTCTCTGTATGAGTGCAAATGGAAGTTCTGGTTTGCAGGCTGGGTAGAATAGAGAGAGAGAGTAACAATCTGCTAGGTCGCACCCAGCACTTCTTTTGAGTCAAGAAGTGGGAAGTAAGAGACTCAAGGGAGGAGAAAGCTGACCACAGAGGTAGGACTGTCAGTCTGGTGATGTACCTTCAGGGAACTAACTGCCAAGTTATGAAATGGGAGAGAAAACACCTCCATGCTGACCACACAGCAAGAGCGACGGGAGACGTCCCAGTGAACTACACAGGAATGGATGGAAAGAGAACAGGCAGGGATGGAGATAGAGATCTGGGAATCATCTATGCAAAAAAGGTTTCAGACGCTATGAAATTCTGTGGTCTTATCACTTAAATCTAGTTAAAGCATCTGAAAAATAGAGACTCCAGCTGAGAAAAGAAACTAAGGGCAGCTGGAAAATAGCAACAGAAGTAGTAAAAATGGGGAAAGAACCAAGGCTCATGTAGTAGCTAGTCAGGACAACACATCGAACACAACAGAGATAAAGTACGGACACGGAATCCACCAAAGAAGCAAGGTGGAGCACACCTGAGAAGGCAGTAGAGCTAAGCACGAGGGGGCGGGAGCCAACTCAGGAGAACAGGTGGACCACTCCGCGCCCTAGGCTCCCTCGTTAGATGGGTGAATGGAAGACAGCACGCTCCAGCCAGCTGCCGTGCCCACCCCAGACTCTACAAACTGAAATGCACCTTCCTGAAAACTGAAAAGGAAGGCATCTACCATTCCAATGCACTCTGGGAAACAAGAGTGACTGCAGAGGGGAGAGACCCCACACAGCAAGGCTCCATAACCATTAGCTCCTGCTTTGAAATAACAAGACACACCGAGTAACAGGAAGAGCCCCAGTTCCACGAAGACAGTCAAATGTGGTCCCAGGGCCTGCCAGTGAGCCCGACCCCCAGCCCTGACCCCCAGCCTCACCACCACAGCACCTAACCACACACCAAGAGCGCTATCGGGCCTGCTGCACACGAGTGCCCCAGAACCGCCACGACTGACGAGTTTGTTTTGCGCAGCTGAACCAATAGTAACTATATACAGTCAAGTCAAACAGGAACTTGAAAGCTCACATATGGGCTGTAAGTTGGTTACAGCAGAGTCAGCCCCATGCAGTTAGTAAAACCGGTCTGTTAACGTGTCTTCCACCGCACACCATGATTGAAAAAGAACGAAAAAGAACACAGCAAACAAATTCAGTTACCCATGAACAATGTGGGAAATATGACTTTTTCTTGCCTAATAAAAAAAAGGAAAAAAACATTAAATAGCAATACAAATACTATTTTCACAACATGTCCTAAAATTAGTGTATGCCCACCTACCCTCACACAGCCCCCCAAAAATCTAACTGGTTTACAAAATTAGGGTAAGTGATACATAAGGAACTAAATACAAGCTATGGAGAAAAAAAGAATGTTTTGGAGAAAAATAAAGTGCCCACACCACACAAGAATTTGTGTCCTGCCAGGTGAGTGACATTAAGGGCTGTGAGTGGCTGGAAGAAACAGCAACACCTGGGAGGGAGGCCCAGCCAGTCGCATTTTAGGAACTCACAGAGGTGACCACACACTAGATAAAATCCTGATTCCAAGAAGCCTTCACATAACCAGAGCTCACAGATATTTTCAAATCCCATAAAAATATGTAATAATAAGGTTTTTAATTCAGTAAGGTGTCATTGCACCTGCAGATCTGGAGGAAGGTGGGAAGGCGGGGTATGTATGTCTATTCCCACGCATGCACACGCACACAAACTGGCTTTGAGTCACCTTGCCCCAAACGTCGCCCCTGAGTCTCCAGGGGGCTAGGAAAACTAGTGGCATGCCACAGACACACTCCTTGGAAGTGAGAGGGCGGGCAGGCGCGTTCTAGAGCCACGGACTTTAAAATGAAGGGTTTTTCCTCATACTGAAACTAGAGGCCACACATAGTCTAAGAACTGGCATTTCTTCTTTTAAACTGACAGATTTAATAATGGAGCTGGGAGTTGGAATGTTCCCTCTTCCTTTTGAGGCTGGCTGGTAAAAGCCACCATGGTTTTTATCTAGTCAATAGGTCTGTAGGAAGAAGGGCCCGAGGTAAAAAGCCAGGCAGGCCAGAAAGCAAGCAGAATCAAAGTAAAGCAGTGAGGAAGTAAGAACACAGCGAAACCTATAAAAGAGAGTTATCCTCAGGAATATGGCAATTAGACAAATGCAGCTAGAGCAATAGGTTAATATTTGAGTGTGCATATACAATCCATTTATCATGTAAACTAAACACCTGAGCAAAGACCAGCCCACAAAAGCATATTTAATTCTTAATAGAAATAATAGTTAAAAATCTGTACTATTTAAACCAAAACTAAATATCATCTATAACTTTCCATCAGGAAGTATATTTCCAGGTGCAGTTTAGGCAATAAAGCCCACGCCCGCATCTAGGCGCTTCTCAGGGGACGGAAGCGCTCCGCGACAGTGCCCAAGGCTCACGCCTGGTTCCAGGTTACTCTGAATCCCACCGAAAACTGGGCTCACCTCTGGGCAGTCACTGCTCTGGTGCCCTACATCAGGGGTCAAGCAGAAGCCAGTCTCTCATGAAGACAGGAGCAGTGAGCCTGACTGACAATATTATCCCTCCTTCATCAGGACTATTCTAAGGACTTGCTACATGCAAAGCCATCTGCCCAACCAATCCATTTCTGGTCCATACCTATTCTCACATCATAAGGTGCCCAAGGCAAGAAATTGGATTCCAGATAGAAACTAGTAACTACTCTATTGGAGGTCATTACAGGTTGCAGGAAAAAAGAATTAGGTACTGTTTCTAACACTCAGGAAGACTACCCTTAAACTTTCCTTTCCGTATTGTTTGCGGTAAATGGTAGTTTTAGTGCCAAATACCTGTTTATTCCCTTTACTATTATAGTATAAAAATGAGGATCCCTCAAGGTTGCCTAAAACTCCTAAATCTAAATCTGAGCAAAATTAATTTTATACTTACTCCCCCTGGGGGATCCCAATGGTCAGAATAAAGTTCTGATTTATATATTGATGTTTTAAAATGTACTCCTTAATGAAATATGTATACTTCAAGGTTGAATTATCTAAAGGAAGAGAAGCCAGAACACTCCACTCCACAAAAACAGACACAGGAAGCTTTTGAAAGTGGACTGGGTACCAAATCAGGTCCTCCATAAATATGCCACAGTTTTTTGAGGAAAGCAGAACACACAAGCTCCTTTAAGAAACTGTGACAATTTCTAGCGTTGTGTCTGTATTGCTTTCACAGAACAAGAATGAGCAACTTCTATGACTCTAAACAGAGACAAGGGCCCGAAGTCCCAGTGCCTCAGACGCTATTCTAGTAACAGCCACCTTCGGTAACGTGGTCAGCATCCCCAGGTCACAGGTCTAACCAGTTACCTGAGTTAAGGCACATCCATAAAGGAGTATAACCATGCAATGTTTTGTTTTGTTTTTAATTGAGGTAGGATGATATCTACTGACATAAAAAGATACTGGCAATATAAATCATGATAGGCATGTTGTGGAACAATATCTGAAGTATAATCCCATAAATTTTTAAAAGAGTAAAGAAGATTCCTAAAAATATGATTTTACATGCTTAGAAATAACCATAAGGATACAAAAAGTGTGAAAACAAAAAACATTTGTTATTTCATATATTCCTGCTAAAACCAACTAAAATTTGTTTGTATTAAGAATATATCACTGCTAGCCCTGGCTGGTGTAGCTCAGTAGATAGAGCGCAGGCCTGTGAACCAAAGCATCGCTGGTTTGATTCCCAGTCAGGGCACATGCCTGGGTTGCAGGCAATATTCCCAGTATGGGGTATGCTAGAGGCAACCACACACTGATGTTTCACTCCCTCTCTTTCTCCCTCCCTTCCCCATCTCTCTAAAATAAATAAATAAAATCTTTAAAAAAAAGAATGTATCAGTGCTTCAATCTTAGGACACATTTTTAACATCTCAATTCCTCAAAAACCACCTTTACATCATGTAAAAGTTGTATCTCCTACACTATATTTGATCCAGTGGTCTTATATTTTTCTAAAATCTTCAGACGGAAGGTTTGTTGCAGGTTTGCACATATACGTAACTACAGTGTTTTCTTCTACCCTTAACAAACACAGGGAGGCGAAAGTAGGTTTACAGTTGTAGGTGAAAAACAGTTTATTCTTGAATTACTTATTATTGTATTGTTTCCCACACACACAAACAACTATAAACCTACTTTTGCCCCACCCTGTATTTGCTAGGAACGTCTACTAAGCACCTTGAGAACAAGGACTGTGGCAAAGGCATCTGTAAGCCCCAGAGCCCACACTGCTACCTTTTAAGAGTCTGCTTCCTAGGACAGAAGTTTCCGAGTCAGGGTTACCAGGGCAACAGGCTCCATGGGGACTAGAGGACAACAGATTCCCTGTCCCCTGAGACTTGAATGATAACAGGCTTCAGGTAAATTTATCAAACTGTGTTTACCTTTTCAAAGATTGAACAAGCTCACTTAATAAATGTGTAACTTTACCACTCAAAAAAAAAAAAAAGATTTAAAATTCCCAAGACTTACCCTTTGTCGAAGAAAGACGTATGCCCTGATCTAGAGAACTTTGTGCCGTTGCTATTCATCACCCCACAGTTAACATTCCCTGACATATAGGATTTTCGTGATGCTTGGTCCTTTGCAAAATTCCTGCAAGCTGCTAATTTGGATTCTAAAGCCTACAGAGGGAACAAGGAATGATTTGGTTGTCAAAACAGTATCTGCATATAAAAATACGCATTTCAAACCATTTCTATTTCAAGACTCAAACCTTACTCTCTCAGTTGATAATGGTGGCTACTTAAGCCAGAATCAATCACCTTTCTAGTAGGAAAAGGAAATGTTTATGCTGACTCCCTTTCTAATGAGCTCAGAATAGTTTACTTATTCTGAGGGACACAAATATAACCCTCACTCATACAAGAAAACTGCGGCATAAGCAGGCAGAGATGGACCCCACGTCTCCTGACCCCATCCATGGTGCCTTTCCGAGTTGCACACTGTTCCGTTAGTTGGCTAGTTGGGGTAGGGTGCAGGGTGAGCGTGGGTGTGGAAGGAGGCTGTCTGGCGAGCAAACACTAAAAAGAATGCCAAAATATCATTTGAGAATTCTTTAAAGCAGGCAATTCTTCCTATAGCATTTCAGGTTAGTTATTTCTAATGCATTTGAATGGATAAGAGCATTTACAATACCTCATGTGAAGTTAAGAGTTATTCTATTTCTTAGAACACAGTGTAATGTCTAACTGATACCCATTGTCTACAATTAAATAATTCACCTGAAAATGATACCAGGCCTTTAGCACTTACCTCTAAATTGGGTGCCCTTCTTAGCACCTGTCACCACAACACCTGGCCAGTGCCAGGCTCTACACACAGATGACACGAAGAAGACAGGAGTACCTCATCTATTCCATCACACACAGATACCACCAACTTCCCCTTTCCCATAAACAAACTCAAGCTCCTCTCCCTGCCCAAAAAAAAAAAAAGGCAAAAAATAGCCCATTTCTATTATCTGTGACACCAAGGGATTAGGAATAAGATTTAAATAAGCATTATTTCAGCAACTTATTATATGAACACATACACAGTAAAAATTGAGAGCCATAAATTTCCTATGCTCTCAGGACACTCATTCATTCAAACACGTGCTGAGTATCGATTATGTAGCTGGCATATGCTGCATCTGAGACGTCTAAGCACAAGTACTGGGTCTGGCCCTCAAGAGAAAAAAGTGGTATAGAAATCAAGGTTTAGAAGATATCTGCACCAGGTAGTAGGCAAAATCACAGTTGCAAATAAGAAGATGAGGAAATCAAAGACAGAACTCGGAATAAAATCAATAATGAAAGGACAGGCAAATTAAGACCCAACGAGATGGCAGAGGAACGGGCAGGAAGCAGACATGACACAGCATCAGAGGAGCAGAGGAAAGAAAGCATGCCCCACCCCACCCCAAAAAACTGGTGTTGAGTATTTCAAATACAATCGGGACAAAACAGCATCCATTGTGTCTGACAGCACCGAGATCATCAATGAGCAACTTGAGTGGGGAGAGCAGGGACAGAGCCCAGACGAGGAGGTCTGGGGAAGAGCGCATGCTGTCACCAATGCTCACAATAAATGGAAATGCACTTTCAAAAAGCTTGGCTGACAAAGGAAGAAAGGAAACAGGATGATGGCTAAAGAGAGATGGAGGGTAAAAGGAAAGAAGAGCTGCTTTTACTTTTGCTAAGATAAAAAAGTACATAATATGTACTACAGAAATATCACACACAAATATTAACATACATGGAGTAAAAAGCTAAAGGTCCAGCAGACACAAAAATGAGAAGTCTGGAAGGAATGGGATCCAAAGCACAAAAGGAAAAAATTAGCCATGGGCAGGAATGATATTTTTACCACTGAATAAAAAGGAAGAATAGCTACAGAGGTAATAAATAATAGGAGAATAATAAAAAAAGGAAAAAAAACAAAACTTTAAATCAGATGGCCTTGATGCCTCATGGAAGACGGTGCAAAAGTAGGAAGGGGGCTTCTAGGTAGCTCTAGTCAGTGGACAAAGGAGTGCAAAGACGTAGGAAAGCAAATAGTCATAAAAGTACACAGGAGCTGGAGGGAAGCAGACCAAAGTTTTGATGACATCTTAAGACAGGCTGTCAGCTGAATAGGTAAACCATGCAAGGACTCCAAGTTCAACTTTCATGCACCATTTCGGAATAGTTCACTTATGGCACTAAAGCAAAATAAGTTAAGAACAAAGAAAGACAACTTGGAGTTCCAGTGTAGTCAGTACCAACCCAAGAATACATGATGAAGAGAAATTCAAAGATGACAGTGGTGCAACAGTCCTACAAGCATATCACAGTTTTCGGCATACAGTGTGAATAAGAAGCTGGAAGGTATGAGATATTGCAAAGAGTTTATTTTTTCTATCCACAAAAAAATTGAAACACTAGGAAAAAAAGAAAAAGACATACAAGTTAGCTCTGATACAATACAAAAAACCTGTCATGATTTTGAGTAAATGATAAAGAAGAAAATGATTGAACCATCTGCTGAACAGCACATATAAAATGACCCAAAAGGCCAGCTTCTCCTCTGTGATTATGCAGGAATACATACATGGGCATAATATTACAGATGCTACTGACTAATTTTCGGTCTTCAGAACCAACCAATGAAGAGTTCAAGAAGGTACGGAGAGAGACACACAGTAAGGAGCTGAGATATAATCTAACAAATTCAAAAACATGTTTTATATTTAAAATTACCAAAGAAAACCCTAATAAGACAAAAAATAAAAAATTGGGAGGATGTGAGTTAAATTCATCTTTTTGCTTAAAATTGGTAAGCCAAAATACAGAAAATAAACACATTATTTCAAGCTATAGAAATAAATACTGTGACTCTTACGACAAATGGGAGAAAAACTACTCTATGTACTCTATCAGTGACTTGTGCACATTACTCTTTACAGTAACTTTAAAATGTGGTTTCGAGTTAATCTGATGATTAAAAATAATTCTATAAGCCAGAAAAGGTAAACAAGGGACCTGTATCCTGGCCTCTCATTTCTTTTTCATAGAAAGTACAATGCAACTTTTTTCAAAAAGTATCTCACACAAAAAAATAAGTGAAAGGGTACTGGATGGCGGGAAGTTGCAGGGGTAGATTATTGAAGAGAGCTTAAAGTCATGAGGAAAATAAAAGGGGAAATGACTAATGCTAACTTTATAGTGGCTTAAATCCAAACAGTTATATTAACATTATTGTTTCCGGTGATCTGGATGAAGGAAAGGAGAAATCCAATTTCTTGACTGATCCAGAAGGCAGGTCTCCTCCACGGCCAGAAACACCGTGAGCAACACTAACAAAGCAAGCAATCTGCGGGATCACAGATGAACAGGAACAAAGTAAAAGCAAGAGATCAAGAAGAAAAACAGAGTACTACTCTCCCGATAAGGTCTAAGAGTATTACACAGACTAAAAAACTGAATAAGCAGAAAAACAAGTTTAATGTTTCAAAAGCCAAACTGCTCTGGAATACAAGTCAGAGTCAAGGAGATGACACTGAAGTTGAGGTGGCCAAGCAGCAGCCAGATGCCGCAAAGAGCAGCAAGTCATGCCATAGGCGGTGCTAAAGGCCTACAGAGAGAAAGGTCAGGGATAACCAGGAGGATGGGAGACAGCAGCAAAGGACAGGATTAGAAGGAGGTATAAGACCTATAGCAAGAAGTAAAAAAATGAAGGACTCGTGGCCTTATAGAAAGAGCCATGGGGAAACATGAAGAATTCCCAGTGGAAACTTAGGAACTCAGCACGCTGGGCCTTCTGCAGAGATACCTCAAGCCCGAGCCCTGGAAGAGTTTCTGGCCCCGCCTCAGCTGGTCACTGGATGCTTTTGCTTCTCAGCTTAATCACAGCCTTTATGACAGAAAGGAATCCTTTTTTCTTCCCTCCCTTCAAATTAAGAAATAATCCAATACCTTGGCAACTGAAACACCTAGTGATAAATAACTGAATGCTTACCCCTACTTTCCGTAAGAGATCCCCCACAATGTTTAGTGCTGATATCCTAGCTGAAGGAGTTAGTGGACTGGTACCAAAACCATTTGGTATAGCTAGAGAAAAATAAAACACAGGTGATTATTACACATGTAATTTGGGTTTCATTGTTATTAAAAGCAATATACACTCAATGTCAACACTTAATATAGTATTCCAAACTACAGATAAAATATAACGTGGAGATACCATGTTAAACTATTCTCCAATTGATGGATGTTTAGATTATATACAAATTTACATCATTATAATGCTAAAAGGATATATATCCTTAAAACATCCAGACAAGTATTTCTAAAGAGATCCCTAAAAATAGGACTGCAGGGTCAGAGGATACGATATGCCTGTTTTGTTCACCTGAACATACTGACCGCCAGAATGCTCTCTACAAAGGTTATGTCAGTTATCAGCAATTTGTATGGTGGTGTTCTCAGTAATACTGGACAATTTTTTTTTTTTTTTGCAAAATTTGAGTGTCATTTTGTTTACATTTTTATTTCCTTAATAACTAGTCATTTGAACCTTTTCTGGAAATCATCTGTTTTAACCTTTGCACTTGTTTCTACTGGGTTGTCTTTCCTTTAATCAATTTGCAAGGGCAAAATACATTCCAGATATTCACCCTTTCTCTCATGTATGTATGTATGTTGTATTCTGAGTGTGACGCTTATCTTTAAACTTTGTGTTTTGGGGAGGAAGCCTTTGGCTCCCTCATTTCAATATTATAAAAAATGTTCCAGCCCTGGCTGGCGTAGCTCAGTGGATTGAGCGCGGGCTGGGAACCAAAGTGTCCCAAGTTCGATTCCCAGCCAGGGTACATTCCTGGGTTGCAGGCCATAACCCCCAGCAACCGCACATTGATGTCTCTCTGTCTCTCTCTGTCTCTATCTCTGTCTCTCTCTCTCTCTCTCTCTCTCTCTCTCTCTCTCCCTCCCTTCCCTCCCTAAAAATAAATAAATAAAAAATCTTTAAAAAAAAAGAAAAAGAAAAAAAAATGTTCCTCATATTTTTCTCCTAATGGTTTCCTAAATTTTTTTTACACTTAGGTCACTTAACCCATCAAATATTTACATATTTTCCCTCCCAATGGATAGCCGATTGTCCAAATACTACTTACTGGAAAAAACTTATCTGAAATGGCACTAAAACCATATACTGAGTTCCCTATGTATTTCAAGTTCCATTAAATTATCAGTCTACCCCACTAGAGAGATGCTGCTTTAGTTATTAGTGTTAAAATAAATTTTGGCATGTTGAAGGGCAAAGCCTCTTCTCATTATTAACCTATTTTAAACTTTTCCTGGCTATTCTTACACATTTAATCTTCCAGATTAACTTCAAAATCAACCTGACAACTTGAAAAATCCTGTGGATATTTTTATTAAAAATTTAAATAATCAACTGATTTGGAGAGAATGGATACTGCAACAAAATTAAGTTTTCCTGTTCAGAACCATGGTTACATGGTTACATAGATCTTACATGAAAACTCTAATGAGCTATGAAAAAATGAATACCTCCCGCTGGAGTTATCTTAATTTAAGCTCCTGACTACTCTGATTAGTGCTCAAATAAAGCTCAAAGGCATTTATTCACGCTCTTTGTCCATGACCCTCGGCAAAGGTTTTCAACTGTGCACGTTTCTTCGATTTATTTTTGAGATAATATAGCATAATAGTTAAGAGTTCAAGTGAAACTGCTAGATACAAATCCATCACTGCCATTTAATAACTATGCGACCTTTGAGTAAGTTACCATATGTAAAAGAAGCTAATAACTAATTTACCTCATAAAGTTGTGAAGTTTAAATTAGTTAACCTACTTTTAAAATGTTTAGTATAATAAGTATTCAATAAATGTTAGCTATTATTTTTTTATGTTTTCTAGAGAATGCCAGGAGGCACATAAAATGCTTGTGTGGCTGCTGCTGTTGTTTACTGTCCTTGTCCTCTAGAATGTAAACTCATTGAAGGTAGGCGTCCTACTCACCGCTATACTCCCAGCATCTAGAACAACACACAGGCCCTGGCTGGTGTGGCTCAGCGGATTGAGCACTGGCCTGTGAACCAGAGTCACTGGTTCGATTCCCAGTCAGGGCACATGCCTGGGTTGCAGGCCAGGTCCCCAGTCGGGGGCCCATGAGAGGCAACCAGACATTGATGTTTCTCTCCCTCTCTTTCTCTCTCCCATCCCCTCTGTCTAAAAATAAATAAATAAAATCTTAAAAAAAAAATAGAACAACATACAGCATACGATAGCTGTACTCCCCTTGGCAGGGATTTCTGGATCTCAGTTCTCCCCATTCTCCTCAAATTTTGTACTCTAGGTATTAAATCTGTGTTTTACAGTAACCGTATTAATACAATGCCATTAAAGACAGACCATTCCACAGAGGTCAGCTCTTCCACTTTGCACACTGATTTCTCAGACCTGCTGCTCCGATGCCTGTGCTGGCCTCCTTGTCACAAAACTGCAGTGACCCAGCACACAGCAGCTCAGGTTAGTAAAAGTTTATGCTGTCAGTTCCAGTCCAAAACTGTCTATTTGGACAAATATTACTGCCGTAGGGTTGACCTATCTTAATTCTGTGTGGGATGGACTAGGCTCCATGTCCTACTGACATTCCCCACCCCAAGTTCTTACATGAAACCTCTAATGAGCTATGAAAAAATGAATACCTCCCGCTGGAGTTATCTTAATTTAAGCTCCTGACTACTCTGATTAGTGCTCAAATAAAGAATTTTCAGAAATTATCTGCAGAATTCTAATTAGTAACATAAAAGCAAAGCTTTGTTAATTCTCAAATGTTACTAATTCTGAGGGCCTCAAATACACAGGGACTGTTCCAAAAAATGAACAGTGAAAGCTTCTGACGACTGCTATAATCCACGCACTGCCTGCTTCCTATTGACTATTTGGCGTTTTCACACACCTTATCCAATTTTATTTCATAACAAGGAGAAAACAGGATGAATTCTTATTCAAGGGCTACTGAGCAAGTCAGATGTGACTAATGCAACCAAAAACTGATTTTTAAATTTTGATTCATAGTAAGTTAGTAAAAATTTCAATTTAAATAGTTGCATGAAGATAGTGGCTACCACAATGGTCAGCACAGATACAGAGAGCTTATGCACATACCACTCAGACAGGAAATCTTCTATCATTATGAAGGGAAGTCCTATATTTAAAAAGTAGTTGAAAGATGCTTCCATTTGGGGAGAAAAAAGTACAGGGGAGTGGGAATAGCTGAAATATGATCTGCAAGCTGCAAAAACTAAGTAAATCCAAACTGGGAGCTTCAGGGTTCCATTCTAAGGGTCTATTCTAGTGACTACTAAATGGTTTCCCGTTTATCAAGACTAAAACACACTGGCTGATAGCAAAAGGAATATTCTCTATGAACTACTCAATAGTAACCCTAAATGTCACTTACGAAAATAGCAGCTACGGAGACATGTGTTAGAATGCACATGTCTATCTAAGCCCATCTTACTCAAGTCTGGTAACTCGAGTCTCTGTACATCCCGTGTATAAAGGCTTCTAGTCTCCCCATGACATGTTAAGTGGCAAAAGCAATAAATAAAACTGTGTTTAAATATAATCCCAAAATATGTGTGTAACAAGGTGGGCACAAACACAAATAAGCACACACGATAGAAAAAACTCCAGTGTTAGGAGTAGTTAACTTTAAGATTACAGATGGCTTTTATCTTTTATTTTCTGTTTTCAAATTTTTCTACATGAATATACCTTACTACTGTAATTAAAAAATAATCTTTAAAACCTTCAACTTCTCAAAATCTCAACTTATTAAGTTGCTCATGTCTTAAATGTAGCATCATTCTCGTTTCCTATATCTGAGTGGCCTAGGAAAATAATTCCTTCTTCTATACACAGTGCTAGATTCAACCAACTTTTAAACTGAAATTATTGCTTAAATCTTAGCAACCCCTGCTTCATTAGCAAACCCTCTTAAGGTGATAATCTACCACAGGGTCAAAAAGTCAAGACATTACAAACCTTTTGGCGAAGGAAAACTGTTCTCTGTTCCTTTGCCAACAGGAGTAGCTGGTAACGAAAGCGAGGCCTGGACAGCAGAATCTGTCTTTTCACAGTCTAGAGTTGGAGAACTGGGGGCCGATTTTCTGGTTACTTCCTGTTGCCTTTCCCGAACGGCTAGTTCTTGTCTTAAATCTGTAAAATGTTGCAAAGGAAGTAATACTCACTAGAGGAAGCAAATACGTAAAGCAAAGTCACATCTAATGCCATAGAGACATTCTCCCTAAATGGTTATTTCTCAAGTATAAATTTTTACTTCTAGACATGATAACCCTATTGTCTAGATGATCTTTTAGAATTTAAAAATGCTATAACCAAAAAAAGCTGTGACCTAAGAGAACAGTTATCTATGCCCATATGCAAAAGGAAACAGAGCAGAGTCTAGAGTGAACATGTATGACACAAAAATGAATGTTCTTTAACAACTCACTTGCTTTTACTTTGAAATGATGTAGTACGGGGATCATTGCAAAAATCAATAAAGTGCATTTTTACCATTTTAAATGGGTTGGTACTTTTTATTAATTGTCACCATAAACTATTTTGTTTTAGAAAAGAAGTCAGAATAGTTGCAATTTTTTTCTTGCTTTCAAGGTTAAATTGCAACCCAAAATTGATGTCTTCTTTTCAGTTATGCAACTAACCCACAGAATAATTGCTTATGATAAAAAAAAAGGGATACAAAGTTATCCCATTTTGGGGTACATATCCAAAAGAATTCAAAACAAGATCTCCAGCCCTGGCTGATGTGGCTCAGTGGATCGAGCGCTGGCCTACAAACCAAAGGGTCACTGGTTCGATTCCCAGTCAGGGCGTGTGAGAAGCAACTACACATTGATGTTTCTCTCACTCTCTTTCTCTCTCCCTTCCCCTCTCTCTAAAAATAAATTAGCATTATTTTTTTTTAAAAAAAAAAGCTCTCCAAGAGATATTTGCACATCATTGTTCGATGTAGCATTATTCACAATAGCCAAGAGGTGGAAGCAACCAAGTGTCCACACACAGATAAATGGATCAAAAAATGTGCTGTACACACACACACACACACACACAAGGGAATATTACTCAGCCTTATAACAACAGGAAATTTTGACACATGCCACAATGTGGATGAACCTTGATGAACCTTTAGGATATTATGCTAAGTAAAATAAGCCAGTCACAAAAAGACAAGCACTTCAAAAGCATGACTTCACTTATATAAGGTATTTAAAACATGGCAACAAAAAGCAGAATTGTAGTTGCCAGGGGTTGGAGAAAAAGGAAAAATGGGGAGTTGCTCCTCAATGGGCACAGTTTCAATTTTGCAACAACAAAAAAATCCTAGAGAGCTGTTACATAACAATGTAATATAGTGAACACTGATGAATTGTATACTTAAAAATGGTCAAGATGGTAAATTTTATGTTTTTGACAACTGTAAATAAATAAATAAAATACAGTTAATATTTTACACATTATACAAATTATAATAAGTTTTTCAGATAAAGTTCTCAAAAAAAAAGCATGAAAAAACTATTTTTAAACATTGGACCAAAAAATTTCATAAGGAATAATCAAATAAACACACATTTAAAAAAGAGATACCACTTTCAGCTTTCAAATGAATTTTCTAATGATTTTTTAAACTATTTTACTAGCCCTGGTTAGTGTAGCTCAGTGGATTGAGCATGGGCTGCAAACCAAAGGGTTGCCAGTTCTATTCCCAGTCAGGGCACATGCCTGGGTTGTAGTTCAGGTCCCCAGCGGGGGCCTCGTGAGAGGTAACCACACACTGATGTTTCTCTCCCTCTCTTTCTCCTTCCTTTCCCCTCTCTTTAAAAATGAATAAATAAAATCTTAAAAAAACCATTTTTATTATTCACAATGCTAATTACCAGTGTGAGAAGGACACTCTCAATCACTGCCACAGGGAGTATAAACATACCAACTTATCTAAAAAATAATTTAGCAGTGTCTTTTATATCATGTGCCACTTCTAAGAATTTATTTTAAAGAAATTATCAAAGCTACTCTTAAATATTAAGTACAAGAATCCTATTCACAGTAGTACTTATAGCAAAAAATTAACTACCAATAATAAAGATCCCATAAAATATATATAATAAATATCATGCAACATTTTTAAAAACTTGTTTTAAAAGATTTTTTAGCCCTGGCTGGTGTGGCTCAGTGGATTCAGTGCCATTCTGCAAACCAAAGGGTCACTGGTTCGATTCCCAGTCAGGGCACATGCCTGGGCTGCAGGCCAAATCCCCAGCAGAGCGCATGTGAGAGGCAACCACACATTGATGTTTCTCCTTCTGCCTCCCCGCCCCCTCTAAATAAATAAATAAAATCTTCAAACAGAAAAGGTGGACTATTTCTCAAAAAAAAGATTTTTAAAGGCATGGATTACTTTATTAAGTAGTAAAAAAAAATGTAACACAGAAAATATATGTGTATATATAGTGTGGTCCCAATTATATATATGGAAAGAAACACCAAACTGTTAGTGGGTTCTCCTAAGATAAATGGATAGGCACTGATTTTTTTTCTTCTTTGTAATATTTTGAATGATACCATGCATTTTTTAAAAAGAGGGAGGGAAGGAGAATTTCCAAGCAAAGTACACATTCACTATATATAATATGTAAATGGCAACATGTGTACATGTTATTATGTATATAACAAAATTCTTTAGGTAGAAGCAAAAAGGGGAAAAAAACCTCAAACTAAGCAAGCAGTATGTGCACAGCAGGAGTGGTTTGGGCTTTGGAAAACAGACCAGGATTTGAATCCCAGCTGACAGGCTATAGACTTTGGACAAAACGCAAACTCTCTGTGCCTCAGTTTTATGCCTATAAAATAGGGGTAATAATACCTACCTCCTAGAGATGATGATGCAGGCATTACGTAAGTTAACAGATTAAAAGTACTTAGCATAGTGTCTCACAAAATATATAGACACAGAGCTTTAACAAGTTGATCCTGAAGCTGGCTTAGAGCTCTGGCTGAGAGACAGTAAGGTTTAGTTTAGGTTATGAAGTTTACCTCTTGCTTCATCCTTTAACCTCTGTACAGAGACCAACAAAGATTCCTTCTCATCAAGTTCACTTTCTAAAAATGCATTTCGTTCAATGGCCTGATTTAGCCTTTGTTCAAAGTCTTCCAGTGAAACTATTGTTGCCCTGAAAAAAAATGTTTAAATCCATGAATTAATATTGTGCAAATAGGTAATAGAAAAGGAAACTGTAGGTTTATCTCATATTCCCTGACCTAGAAAGGCTGGCCAGTGAAAGAGAATGATCTCGCTCCCTCTAACCTCTGGTGGCATTCAGTGTCTCTAACATTTAGAGCCATTAAATATATTCATTTCTCCTAAAGTCCCATCTAAATTCCTTAAAGTTCCTTAAAGGAAAGCCATTTACTGTACTATTTGTATCTCCCCACTGGATTTTAAACAAGAAAATTTTCTTCAGAAAAATTTTTCAATAGTTTTTTAGAGTAGGTTAAAAATTAACTAAGGATGTGCTTAAAACACAAAGTGCCAGGTTCCACTCCATTTACTTTCTGCCTAACAACTCTTTTCTTCTCCTGCACTTCTCATCTTACTCCTTCATTCAACAAACATTAACATGTACCTACTATATGCCCACTTCATGCTACAGGTATATTGTAAAATTCCATAACCTCAAGTCAATTCTCATAACGCCATGTTGAAGTTTATCAAGTCCTGTCAACTGTCAAAATCTCTCTCAATTCCATTTGCTCTCCTTCAAACTTCTGCCCTGGCTTCCGTCTCCACCCATCACCTGGATTACTCCTAAATGGTCCTCGTCTCTTTCTCTCCATTCCAATTCCGAGGTATTATCTTCTCAAATCACAATTGGCTATTACTCTTTCGTTTAAAAAATCCTTACAGAGACCCTCATTGCCTAAAGAATAACTATCAAACATCACACACAAGGCTCTTCACAACCTTGCCTCAACCACCTTCCAGTCACATCTTGTTCAGCCACATCTCTGCACATTTCAATCAAAGTGAATCATTAACACATCACACACTTTCCTGCCTCTCTGCCTTTATATCTCCCTCCTTCACCTGGTTAATGTCTATTTCTCCTTCTAGGCGCTGCTTCCCCAGTTCCCCCAGTGTACTTTAGCCGCTCCCTGCTCTATGCCCCGGAGCAACCTGTACACTCTTTTTACTAGAGTATTTACCACATGGAGTGTCCATACCTGTTGCACCCAAGGGCAATAACTGGTTTATTTTTGTATCTTCAACTCTAACAGTATGTCAGTCATTTAAAAGTCACTCAAATGTTATGGAAAGAACTACCAGACAGTAAAGTAACTGGGATGAAGTGAGAGGAATTAATTTGGAATGGTTAAAAAATAACTAGTTTATGATATATGAAAGCTTGGCAACAGTAATGGCAAGCCACTAACAGTTATTCAGCAAAATCGTAATAAAAGCAATATTTTGAGAAGATTCATCAGTCAGTATTAAAACAGAGGAGAATAAAAAGGAGTAAAAATTTAAAGAGATTTGCTAGGAAATAACTGCAGAAATCAGGTGTAACACGGGAGGTCCTACAAAAAAGTGTGGTAGTATGGAGAACAGAGAGGGAAAGATAGAGGAATGAATGAGACACGTTTTAACGAAAAGCCAGCAGGAACAACAATGGTACATGAAAGAAGGAAAAAGAAAACCGGAAAGAAAAACTTAGAAGGGCACTCTCCCGGAGATAAAGGTTTCTGGTAAGTTTCAACTTGATGATTACCAACAGGAAGTGTTGTGGGACTAAGAATGGGTAATAGGTTGAACCTAAAGATATATATTTTATTCACTGATTGCCAACTTTGGTTACACTAAAAAAATGCCCATTGTTCACCTTTTTGCTCGCTCGAGGTCATCATTGGCCTGCTCCAGCTCTCTCACATACTTATGCAACTGCTCCTTAATGGCTCGAGTCTGACTTAAATCATCTTCTAACACTGAAACTTGCTTGTAGCTTTGTGCGTACTGATGTTCTAGTTTCTCCTAAAGAGATGAGTATACAAAAAGGTATGTGTCATTAAAATACAGTTTTCTTTAATAAAGGATGCAACCAAAGTTAAAGGGGCGGAAAAATCCAAGGAGTTCACCCACAATCCAAGTTGATAATACCTCTTCTTTTCACAATATTTAAAAACAATTATACATTCATTCCAATTGCCTTAACTCATATAAAATTTAAATGGTCAACCATTCTCCTTTCAGAATCTGATAGTAATCTCTCTGAAAAGAAGTAAAATAATAAAACCATTGCCTCAAAAACCCCAAACACGGTAGGGGAACTTCTGGGTCCTCAGGCTGCATGCAGCTCGGGGTGAGCACAAAGAAGTAAACTGACAGAGTTCAAATTCCCTGCCCCTTACCTACCCACTCCCTACCCCTTCCACAACCCCCCCACCCCTCCCCCGCCTTCCACAAAACCACCTACTTCCCAGACACCGAAAATCTCCATGTATTTGGCTAAGGCAGGTGGTTAAGAACAGCAAAAGGGGCTCATCCTTTCACTTCTGAAAATTCCTTTTTAGAAGGCAATCTTTAAATCCAAACTAAACTCTAAAACTAAAGGGACTATGAACAATAATGAAATAAATGTGTATACTTCATACAGACATAATTTTAAAGTGCCACAAAATAAAGCAATATGTCAAAACAAATAGTCAGCTTCTGAGAATTATGGGAATTACAAAATTAAGCTTCTTTTCATGTTTTTTTGTGCCCTGCTGCTCTTAAGCTCCCATTAAATAAACATATTTCTCATTTTTTTAAATCCTCACCCAAGGATGTGTTCATTGATTTCAGAGAGAGAGGAAGGGAGAGAGGGAAGTAGAGGGAGGGAGAGAGAGAGATGGGGGAAAGAAGGGAAAGAGGGGCAAGGGAGGGAGAGGTGGGGGGAGGGAGAGGTGGAGGGAGGGAGAGGTGGAGGGAGGGTGAGAGGTAAGGGCAGAAAGGGGAGGAGGGGAGGGAGGAAGAAGGGGGGATAAGGGGAGAGAGGAGAGAGAAACTGATGTGAGAAACATCAATGGCTTGTCTCCCATACATGTCCCAACCAGGGAGTGAACCCACAACCCAGACAGGTGCCCTAGCTGGGGATGGACCCTGCAATCTGTTGGCGCACGGGGCAATGCTCCAACCAACTAAGCCACCCAGCCAGGGCAACATTTCTCATTTTAATAAAACCCCACACATTAGACACCAGAGCTTCTACAACCACAATTACCTTTAATGCTTCCACTTCATATTTCAGTCTTTGGTTATCAGCTTGCAAGTCTCTATTTCTTTGTTCAGCCTGTACTAATTGTGCCTCCAACTCTGCTTCTAATTCTCTGCTTCCTTCCTGAAATTCAACCAGCTCATCCCGAGCTTCCTGGAAGCTAATCAAAAACAAAGTGGGAAAGATGAGTTGTAGTACACCATAAGAAACATGTTGAAGATGATTATATATCAATTCAAGAATTTTTGCCTAAATGCTATGCTCTAATAAAATATACTAAATAATAAAGACAATTTGTTTTACATCTCTTACCCTATATTTGAGACTCAGTGAAAATTATTTATAGGCCCTAAAAGGATTTTTATTTTATACACTCGCTAGCTCCTTATTTAATGTACTACTAAAGAAGGCAATTGCTATACCACAAATAAGTTTGATATTTAGATAAGTCTTTCAATATAATTGAGTTTTTCAATATAATTGGTTTCCTTTGCAATTCTGTTATTTGATTTTATGCATTTAAAGACATTATTCTTTTATTTTAAGATTGTGTTTACTTTTAGAGATAGGGGAAGGGAGGGTGGAAGAGGGAGAGAAACAAATTGATCAGGCTGATGAGTTGCCTCTCACAGGCCCTCAACTGGGGACCTGGCCTACAACCCAGGCATGTGCCCTCACTAGAAATTGAACCTGTAACCTTTCAGTTCACAGACCAGTACTCAGTCCACTGAGCGACACCAGCCAGGGCAAGACATTGTTCTGAGAACGGGTCTAGGCTTCCCCAGACTACTAAGTGTCTATGGCACAAAAAATGATTAAGTACTCCTGCCATAGACACCTTTTATATCCACTGTCACAATATAACTGGCTCCAGCAATAATAATAAAGTAACAGTAAAAGGTTTGATAAGGCTTAGAAAACTCCTTTAACTAAAGTAGAAAAAAATATATATATTTCTTTAGAAAAATTCCATTTTATAATGAAATTTAAGACAAGCTTTGGTTCTCAAAAAATTATGTAAAAGTTCTCCCAAATCATTAAAATAATTGAGATTTTAAAAAATTCCCCATATGTCTGAAGCTCTTCTCCCCTCCTTGAAAGCTTTTCTGGCTCCAGTCACTGATAATGCTTGCCTGCAGAGAACTCAAGTCTGCTGTGTGAAGCCCCAGACAGCCTATCAGAATCTCCAGAAGATCAAAATGATGAGGCAGAAACAGTATACATGAAACAGACCAAAGATGGTCAATGAGAGTAATAAACATAAAAGGAGGTAAACTACCAGAAAAAAAAAACACAAATGACACTAAGTTTTTTTACTATTTTAATAATTTAAGTAATACAGGACTTATGGCATTTTTATATTACTTAAATACAAGCAATGTTATGACTATTTCTAGAATCCCACTACCAAACCTGAAACTCTAATTTTAGCTTTATGTTTTATTTTAAAAATGCACATGCTAGAGACGGTGTATTCCAAATGCCCTCCTCTATTTTTTTGGGGGGGATATTTTTCAACATTACCTTTGCTTATACTTTAAGGACAGTTCCTTCCAATAAGCAGTTTCCTCCTTTAAACTTGAAAAATTTGGTATATCTTCACCATCCATGATCAAGAAAGCCTGTGAAATATTAAAAACAAGCTTACAAATTAATAGAGAACATGGGAACCTAAGTAAAAGTATAAAATCTGGCATAACACCAAGTCTGCAGCATTTTGGAGTTAAACAAACATGAAAAATACTAAGAGTAGTTGAATTTTTTTTAAGAGCGATTAACTCTTTACCGTAACCTAGGCACAAAAATCACTTCACTCCCCACTCTTGCGGACCACCGACTGAGCATCAGCTCATGACAGGTGAGGAGACCAACAAAGCTCTTTGGTGCAGAGCCTTTTCTGCCACAGCCCTGGGCTCCAGTGCACTGGCCCTACAGAATCAGCCTGCACACAGGACCCCAGCAGTGGGCTTAAAGCCAACTGCTCTTCTGGGAATCAGGTGACAGAAACAATTTTACTGTCAGAGTGGACGCTACTGCATGCCCTTCTCTGTTGTATAATTGCTTCAAAACACCTGCATGAAACATTTCATGTGAGGTGATCATACTAGGAGAGCAGATACCACATTCCCAATAATTTACTATTATTACATTTCTAAAACCTTCCTGTTAATTACCTTTTAAGATCAAAGCTCCCTCCATTAAATCCACTAATCCTCCAACTTCAATGTTCTTTCATCTTGGTTCTTCTCCCACGGAATTCAGAGAGGAGGGGGTAAAAAAACCTTCCTAACTACCTTTGCATTTGGACTGACTACCTAAAACTCCCAAATGATTGCCAAGGACAAATGGCATACCAAAGACATTGAGCTCCCCCTAGATTCATGCCAGTTCTGTTGGAGTCTTATCTCTTATAACCATCTCCTCCAAGCATTCCACTTTATATTCCAGCAATAATGTTCAAAATTGTCTTAACACACCACTTGTTTCACTTCTGAATGTTTTCTCTATCACGGGTGTCCAACCCGTGGCCTGTGGGCTTGCATGTGGCCCAGGATGGCTATGAATGCGGCCCTGTGCAAAATTGTAAATTTACTTAAAACTTTTTTTCAGCTCATCAGTTTTCATCAGTGTTTGTGTATTTAATGTGTGGCCTAAGATAACTCTTCTCCTTCCAGTGTGGTCCAGAGATGCCAAAAGGTTGGACACCCCTGCGAATGGCTCTCCCTTCCTTATATATTTGGAAAGCTCTCTTTATACTTTTAAAACCTAGTCTCATCTCTTCCAGAAAGCCCTTCCCACCCTCACCCAGATGGCACTAAAATCTCCCACACTCTTGGCTACCTCTACAGACACACGTGCCTTCGTGAATATATTTTCCACACAGCTTACCCTTGTATGCCCCTTCTTAGGCTGTGTATTATTCTTACTTATTTCTACCCCAGCATACTGCTTGCACATTAGCAGATACTCAATATACCTACTAAATTAAATCAGAATTGATTCAACCTAACCCATACCAGGCAGCAAGAATTCAAGACCAGGTTTAAAAGTAAATTAACAAAAACTTGAAGCACAGAATGCCACTTGTGAAGGTTTAGTAACAAGTCACAGACAAGAACAAACACAGAACTTCAATTTCAGGGTAGATACACACCAAAGAAGTACAAAAGTGGTTTCCAGTTGAATAAAATTAACACGTAGTTATATATACTTAGTGTCATTCCTTTGGGGCCTACTGCAATGTTTTCAGTTTTAGTCAAGTCTCTCCTAACCACACCATCTATTATTACTTTTGACATCTGTTAGTCAGTCTCCTGATTATTTTAAAATACCAACCAGCCTAAGAGTTCTTTGGAAAAAAAAAATGGATCCTTTCCATACTTTGTGTCTCTTCGTGGCACCAAGCACAACACCTTGCTTATAGAAAGTACTGAATGCTTGCGAATGTTTACTGAGCACTTACTATGTATCAAACATTGTTAAGTACTGAATAAATATTTAGTGCACCAAATGCACCCTCCTCTAATCTAATTACTCCTACACTGGCACATTTTTCTCTGTATTATTTTATTCTTGGAGATACCCTTAAAGCATGATAACACATTAAAATACAAACCCACACAAAGCTGAAGTGCTGTTGAGACTGAGTTCTAGGGCTTCAATTCTACCCTTAAATTCTCAGACAAACTGCTTAAGCTCTCAAAGTCTCAGTTTTTTTTCATCTAATGAGAGTTTGGACTAGACTTATGTTTCTTCAAATATGTTTCTGACTGTATCAAAATAAAAAAATTTTTGTACAGCAAAGGAAACCATCAGCAAAATGAAAAGACAACCCACAGAGTGGGAGAACATATTTAATGACACATCTGATAAGGGGTTAATATTCAAATTTTATAAAGAACTTACAAAACTCAACACGAAAAAAAAGACAAACAACCCAATTAAAAAATGGGCAAAGAACCTTGAATAGACACCTCCAAAGAGGACATACTGATGGCCAATAGACATATGAGAAGATACTCAACATCACTAATCTTCAGAGAAATGCAAATTAAAACCACAATGTAGTATTGCCTCATACCAGTCTGAAGGCTATCATCAATAAAACAGTAAACAAGAAGTGCTGGCAAGGATGTGGAGCACAGGGAACCCAGTTTGCACTGTTGGTGGGAATGCAGAATGGTGCACCCATTGTGGAAAGCAGTAAGGAGATACCTCAAAAAATTAAAAATGGAACTACCTTTTAACCCCACGATTCCACTTCTGGGAATCTAACCAAAGAAACCCGAAACATTAATTCAAAAGAAAAGAAGCACCCCTGTGTTCATTACATTATTTATAATCACCAAGATATGGAAGCAGCTCAAGGGTCCATCAGTAGATGAGCAGATAAAACAGCTATGGGACATGTACACAATGGACTACTACTCAGTCATAAAAATGAAGATAATGTTACCCTTTGCAACAGTAGGGATGGACCTGGAGAACATTTTGCTAAATGAAACAAGCCAGTCAGAGAAAGACAAATACCATATGATTTCACTCATATGTGGAATCTACTGAACAAACTGAACTAAGAAGCAAAATAAAGACAGACTCAGAGAGAGCAGGCTGACAGCTCTGGGGTTGGGGGTGAGTTTAGGAGGTAGAGGAAAAAACTCTGTTTCTGACTAGTAAATAGCACTGATTAATTTTAATACTATTCCTTCATCAAGGTTCCCAATTCCCACTCTATTTTCCCAGATGTAGGCATAATCTTTTTTTAAAAAAGATTTTATTTATTTTTATTTTAGAGAGAAGGAAAAGGAGGGAGAAAGAGAAGGAGATAAACATCAATCTGTTGCCTCTCGCACTCCTCCAACCAGGGACCTGGCCCACAACCCAGACATGTGCCCTGACTGGGAATCTAACCAGCAACCTTTCACTTTGTGGGACATCACCCAACCCACTGAGCCATGCTGGTCAGGGTGGAATAATTGTATTTGTAACTGTAATAACTTGTAGTAAGGTATGAATGAAAATAAGGCAAATCCAGCAGCAAGATATATTTGTATTTCAAAACAAAATCCAAAGCACTTAAAGGCATCACCATATGATATCAATAACTCCTGAGATTTATTGCTTAAGTATCCTTGAGGAGATGGACATATTTCGTATTAACAACCCAAATGAAGACATAATGACAGGACATGAGAAGTTATCTAGGGGTGAGGCAAAAACCACTGAGTCACCTGAATGCTCTACACAAGGTCTTTCACCCAAATGCCCCCAAAATAATGATTACATTTAAAACCTATGAATCCAGCCCCAAAGAAACTATAGGCACTGAGGTCCTCAAATCTGGGCAGATCCACTTGCCATTCGAACACTGCCAACAATGTATCAATGTGCAGCTCAAATATTCAGTTTCTGATACACAATCCAATAAATTATGGTTTTGCAAAAGGTTATGAAGATCAAAATGACGAAAGAAGCGAAGTTCATCTTAAACAAAAAACATATTTTAAAATGTGAAAATTACGTCTCTCTGTTACCACCACAGACATCCAGTTGGAGCACCAGGGAGTCTGTCCCACTGGCCAAGATGGTGCAGGGGGAGGTTATGCTGAGCATGCCAAAAACTAGAAAGATGAATGCATAGAGCCCCAAGCATGCCAAATGCTAGCAAGATAATTGGATAGAAGAAAAGTCCTTCCTATCCCTGTAAGAACTGACAGCTTAAGCAAGAAGGGGAGATGGTAACCCTGGCCAGTGTGGCTTGGCTGGTGTGGTTCAGTTAGTTGGAGCTTCACCCCACACACAGAAAGGTTGCAGGTTCCACCCCAGTAAGTGCACATACCAGACATGGTCACCTGATGTTTCTCTCTCACATCAATGCTTCTCTGTCTCTCTCTTTGTGTCTCTCTCTGTCTCCCCCTTCTATCTCTAAAAGCAAACAAAAAAAATGTCTTCAGGTGAGGATTTAAAAAAAGAAGAAGGGGAGATGGTCTTTGAGACAAGAGTCCACCATGCTCCCAAGTCACATGGCACCTGAATAAAACCTCCTTCCTTCTGCACCAGCACCTGCCTCATAAGTCTGGCTTCCGTTGTGGCAGGCAGTCAAACCACCATTTGTTCAGTTACATCTCCAGCTAGTTCCTTGAGGGCAAGACCTGTGTCTTATTTATAAGCACCTCCGCATCACCAAAAACATGAAATACACAGAAATCCAACAAATGTTTGAATTGACTTATAATCTTTTATTATTCCCTCTTTACTTTCAAAGTACCACTTTACTAACAACTAAATTCCTATTTCAGGATAAAGTAAGCAAAAAGATTTGTGGCTAATTTATTTCTACCTCATACTGTACCAACATGTATTAAGTCAGGATTATAAAACCTATCATTCTCAGCTAGACAAAATTATTAGTCTGATGTGTGCCAAGCCACATTCTCAGTCACTTATAAAGCTCAGTATAGGCTCCGCATCAAAGAATAGGGAGCTGATGGGACTTGCTGAAGAAAGCCTTAAGAGATACCACTGCACAATTGCTACCTAAAATAATCATTGCCTAAGCTTCAGCCTTAAATATGAATGGACAACCAAAAACAATCATACAAGTGAGAAAACCCAGTAGCAT